CAGGCATCAGCAGCACACAGCCACCAGCCAGGCAGTCAGGCAGGCACACAGCCACCACCCAGCAGTCAGGCAGGCACACAGCCAGCCACCACCAGCCAGGCACACAGCCAGCCAGCCAGGCAGTCAGCAGGCACACAGCCAGCCACAGCAGTCAGGCAGGCACACAGCCAGCCAGCCAGCCAGGCAGTCAGGCAGGCACACAGCCAGCCAGCCAGGCAGTCAGGCAGGCACACAGCCAGCCAGCCAGGCAGTCAGGCAGGCACACAGCCAGCCAGCCAGGCAGTCAGGCAGGTACACAGCCAGCCAGCCAGGCAGTCAGGCAGGCACACAGCCACCAGGCAGTCAGGCAGGCACACAGCCAGCCAGCCAGGCAGTCAGGCAGGCACACAGCCAGCCAGCCAGGCAGTCAGGCAGGCACACAGCCAGCCAGGCAGTCAGGCAGGCACACAGCCAGGCAGTCAGGCAGGCACACAGCCAGGCACACAGCCAGCCAGACAGTCAGGCAGGCACACAGCCAGCCAACCAGGCAGTCGGGCAGGCACACAGCCAGCCAGGCAGTCAGGCAGGCACACAGCCAGGCAGTCAGTCAGGCAGGCACTTCATTTCATTTCACGATTTCAAGCTCGCCACAGATATATATTATATCTGTCTTCTGCAGCATGGGTGTGAAGGGTCTGTGGAGTGTGTTGAGTTCAGCTGGGGAGAACATTGGTCTAGAAGACTTGGATGGTCTAGTACTGGCTCTGGACCTGTCTACATGGTTGATCAACAGCTGGCTCAGGTATGACAACAATCTCAACTTACTGAGTACATTATACTACACTGTTCCCTAGGTAATTGGCTTGAATTTGCTTCAGTTTGCATACAGCCGACGTACGAATAACTTGGTTGATCAGACCCTGATCCACTGTGAGGCCTGGTCATGGACCGGGCCGCTGGGGCGTTGACAAACCATACCACGGATGGGGATAGAACACGCAATCAGTGTCTCTCAAAACTCCAGACCGTCGCGTTTTTCTCTTGTTTTATGACTAATTTCCCAGCATTACACAAGGCCACAGGCTGGGTCATAAAAAATGTTCAGATATATTAGAGAGATAAACCAAACTGTAGCTGTTGAAAAGTTTATATACTTGTATCCTCCATTTTAACCTTTCACTTGTTTTTATTTACGATTGCTTGATCTTCCGTGAGATTATTGTATCATCGTTATGTGGTGTTCTTGTTATTTATTTGCTTACAGAACTTTGTTTTACCGCCTGATAAGTCTGATAAGAGCCGGGGTGGTGCCGCTGGTGGTGCTGGATGGTGCCTCGCCTGAGTGGAAGATGCCTCTCCTGAGTCAACGCCGCTGGAAAAAACTTCTCTACCACACTAGAGGTGTCAGCCTTGCCAAGAAAAAATCCAAGTGAGTCAGAGTTTCTGTGAGTGAAGATATAACTTTGCTCTGAAAAATATTGAATGAGTGTTCTGTGGGCATTAGACATGTTTAACGTGTTGTGTTGCAGGTGCTGCACGAGTGGTCATGGTTTCTGTTTATTAGAGTCTGCAGTAATTGTGATTCAGATATCTGATCTGTTTGACCTTCAGAGGGAAGGATCTTTTTTTTTTTTTTTTTTTAGATTTTCGCTCATTTCTCTTTTCATTATCAGTGTATGAACCTCCTGTGATTAATAGTCCAATTATAAATACAGTTCTTAACTTGGATTTTTAATTGTTACTGCAGAAGGTATTTTATTCTGACCCTGAATGCTTCTGTACTCAGTTTTTCCAGTCACTCACAGGTCTGTTTACTGCTGCTCTGGTTGTTGAAATTAAATTTATCGAGCCTCCCTTCTCGTAAAATATATTTCCACTCCTGCATTTATACGCGTTTGTACTTCTATGATATAAATTTACGTATGTATAAATATATACTTTGATTATATATATTTAGGCCTTTTGTGTTGGTCAACACATAAGAACATAAGAACATAAGAACGAAGGAACACTGCAGAAGGCCTACTGGCCCATGCGAGGCAGGTCCAAGTCCCTACCGGCTTAAGCCAATGCACCCAACCTAGTCAGGTCAGGTCACATTGACTCAAGGGAGGAACACGGCAACCGACCCGTTAGCACAAGCTATCAGGTCTAACTCACACCCACCCACATCTACTCATGTATTTATCCAACCTATTTTTAAAGCTACACAACGTTCTGGCCTCTATAACGGTACTTGGGAGTTTGTTCCACTCATCCACAACTCTATTACCAAACCAGTACTTTCCTATATTCCTCCTGAATCTGAATTTTTCCAACTTAAAACCGTTGCTGCGAGTCCTGTCTAGGCTAGATATTATCAGCACACTATTTACATCCCCTTTATTTATTCCTGTCTTCCACTTATAAACCTCAATCATATCCCCCCTAATTCTACGTCTTTCTAGAGAGTGCAGTTTCAGGGCCCTTAGTCTATCCTCATAGGGAAGGTTTCTGATACATGGGATCATCTTTGTCATCCTCCTTTGTACATTTTCCAGAGAATTTATATCCATTCTGTAATACGGTGACCAAAACTGTGCAGCATAATCTAAATGAGGCCTAACCAAGGATGTATAGAGTTGAAGAACAACCTGAGGACTCCTATTATTTATGCTTCTTGATATGAAGCCAAGGATTCTATTAGCTTTATTGCGAACACTTATGCACTGTTGTCTTGGTTTCAGATTACTGCTAACCAGAACTCCTAAATCTTTTTCGCAAACCGTAATATTAAGATCTACATTATTTAGTTTATATGTGGCATGGTTATTGTCCTGTCCAACATTTAGAACTTTGCATTTGTCTATATTAAACTGCATCTGCCACTTCTCCGACCACTGCATCAGTCTATTCAAATCTTCCTGGAGTGCTCGAATGTCCTCGTCAGAATGAATTCGACGGCCTATTTTGGTGTCATCGGCAAACTTGCCGATGTCGCTCTTTATGCCCTCATCTATGTCGTTTATGTAGATTGTGAACAGCAGGGGGCCCAACACTGACCCCTGTGGAACACCGCTCGTGACGCTTCCCCACTCTGATTTCTCCCCATTTATGCAAACTCTCTGCTGCCTATTTGTCAACCATGCCTCTATCCAGGAAAAAATTTTCTCCTCCTATTCCATGTGCTTTAATTTTCCTCAATAGTCTCTGATGTGGGACCCTGTCAAAAGCCTTACTGAAGTCCATATACACAATATCATATTCGTTACCATGATCTACCTCCTCAAATACCTTAGTGAAAAAAGTTAATAAATTCGTAAGGCAGGAACGTCCCTTTGTAAAACCATGCTGAGATTCGTTGATTAATTTATGCTTTTAAAGGTGGCTACGAACTGCCTCGGCAATTATTGATTCCATAAATTTTCCCACTATGGAGGTTAGGCTTATTGGTCTATAGTTCGAAGCTAAGGACCTGTCACCTGTTATGAAAATGGGTATCACATTTGCCATTTTCCACTTATCTGGCACCATGCCAGTTTGTAGTGATATGTTGAAAAGATTAGCCAAAGGTGTGCTAAGCTCCTCTTTACATTCCTTTAGAACCCTTGCATACAGTTCATCAGGGCCTGGGGATTTGTTAGGTTTTAATTTATCTATTTGCCTAAGGACCATGTCACTTGTGACCCTAATAGTGCACAGTTTATTATCGTTCCTGTTCTACATAATTTATCATTACTGGAATATCACTGGTATCCTCCTGTGTAAAAACTGAGAGGAAGTATGTGTTAAAAATTCTACACATTTCCTTATCACTGTCAGTGAGCTGACCCGAGGAACTTTTGAGTGGGCCTATCTTGTCCCTGATCTTACTTCTGTATACCTGAAAGAATCCTTTTGGGTTAGTCTTCGATTCTCTTGCAACTTTAACCTCATAATCTCTTTTGCTTTTCTAATTCCCTTTTTTATTTCTCTCTTTAACTGAATATATCGATTTCTTAATTGCCCCTCTCCTCTTTTGATTTGCCTATATATGCCTCTCTTTTGACCAATCAGATATTTTAATCTATTTTTCATCCATTTAGGATCATTTTTGTTTGATCTGATTTCCCTATTTGGAACATAATTTGACTGAGCAGCTAGAACTATGCCCTGGAAAGCATCATATCGGCAACCATCACCACCTACCTGACCCCTAGTCAAGTCATTCCAGTTCAGCCCACCTAAGTAATTTTTCAGTCCTATGAAATCAGCCAAGCGAAAGTCAGGGACGGAGACTTGATTGCCATTATTAGGGGATTCCATGATATGTTAAAACTGAGTGATTTGTGAATCACTCTCCCCAAGCTCATCATTAACCTCAAGATTATTAATTAGTGTTTCCCTACTGGCAAGAACCAAGTCAAGGAGGTTATTTCCCTAGTTGGCTCTGTCACAAACTGTTTTAAAAAAAAAATCCTGGATCGTATCAAGAAAGTCACCCGACTCTAAATTTCCTGTCAAATTGCTCCAGTCAATCTGTCTATAGTTGAAATCTCCCATTAGCACAACATTTTCGTATGTAGATGCCTTACGAATTTCGTCCCATAGAAGTTTACTGCACTCCCTATCAAGATTTGGGGCCCTGTAAATCACACCCAAAATTAGTTTTTCTCGGCCCTCGAGAAGCTGTAACCAAACAGATTCAGTGGCTGACGCTTCTAATTTAATATCTTGTCTAACACAACAATTTAATTGTCTCTGACCATACATCGCTACTCCACCACCTTTCCTGTTGACCCTGTCAGTGTGGAATAATTTATAGCCTTGTATGTGACATTCAGATGGCATCTCTCTATCTTTCAGATTGAGCCAGGTCTCTGTTATAGCAATAATATCTATGTTTCCTGCACTTGCAATTAATCTTAGCTCATCTATCTTATTTCTAACACTCCTGCTATTAGTATAGTAAACCTTAAGGGAGCTAGTCCCTTGCTGCCCTCTGCTGTCCCCCTTTGTTTTCTGACCTGTTCTATTGTCTTTATTTATAACTTCATGCTGAATGCCTTTTATACATTTACTGTTTCCAACCCTAGTGTTGCAACCTGCTTGTTTCCCACACACACCCATACCTCTATCTTCCCATCAGTTTAAAATCATAGGCATTTCACCAATGGCCTTCTCAATCGAGTCTGCAAGTGCTACCACCCCTGCCCCAGAGAGATGAACCCCATCCTTGCATACATATCATGTTTGCCATAAAAGTTGTTCCAGTTGTCAATGAATGGGATTGCAAGTTCCTTGCAGTATCTGTCTAGCCAGCAATTTACACCAATTGCCTAGACAACCATTCATTTCCTACTCCCCTTCTAGGCAAGATGCTACATATGATTGGGGATCCCTCCCTTAGACTTAATGAAATCTATAGCTGACCTGTACTTATCTAGCAGCTCTTCTCTCCTACCCTTCCAATATCATTTCCACCAGCACTGAGACAGATAATGGGCTTGTTCCATTACCTGACATGATATTATCCAGTCTGTTGACAATGTCCCCAACACCAGCTCCAGGGAAGCACACTCTATCTCTCATCTTCTTATTCCTATTACAAAAAGCACGGTCAACATATCTTACCTGAGAGTCACCAACCACAAGAATGCGCTTACCTTCATTAGCAGGGGCAGTAGTACCCTTACCTTCACGGCCACTGAAGTACATTCATCCTGGAGAACAGAGAAGCGATTTCCTACCTTCAGATCTTCACTCTTAAACTTTCCTTACTCTGATGCGCCTCCCATTACTGTGAACAACTCGCCACTTGTAGCAGGTGCTGGGCTGCACCTCACTGCTGGTACCCGTTGCTACCTCCCCACCTACAGCCTCCTCACAGTGAGAGACAGACTGCACCTCACTGCTAGAAGCCTCATTCCCCACATCTCCAACCACCTCACACTCTCTCCCAGGCCCATTGAGGTGGACCTTCAGCCTCCTAATCTCCTCCTGGAGAAGCAAGACCTCCTCCTTCAACTCTCCAAACTCAGTTTTTAAAACACTGCAGAAGCAAGCCATGAGGAGGTTCGTACAAATACGATCATAGGAAGCACCTCTGCTGCAAAGGTACTTCCTCTGATCGTATTTCCTTGGACCTGTTTTCTGCAACACTGTAAGCTCCTGATGTTGATTGCAACACGAAAGGCCTACAGCTATCATTTAACCCCCCCCCCACCACCATCCGTAGCTGTTTTGCATATTGTATCGCTAGTTCGCGAGATATGTATATCTATATACTAATATATGTCTAGATATATATAATTTAAAAAATTGTTTAAATGTTTTTTTTTTTTGTATCATTATTTTCTAAATCCAGATTTTTCTTATATTTCCTCAAAAAATGAACTTTCTACAGAAAATGACTTAACATTAGTAAACAATAATCCTCAAAATTCCTTGTTTTATACGTCTTATACAATGTTGAAATTTGTCATTTTAAACTGCCTTCAGCTTGGCAAAATATATAGTTTTGTGAATGACAAAACAGGCACAATACCATGACTGGAATGGCTTCGTAAATGGTCCAAGTCTGACCGAAACGTCCTCCTAAGCTCATCTCTATGTGCGTGTTTGTGTATATAGTTTTGTGATTTATGTAGTGTAGATGAGTGATGATTGAATAATTGTCTTCAGGTTCAGAGAACCAACAGGCAAGAGGAACTACCACGCAGTTATCGAGGTGAGAACCTGACATGTTTGGCAGAGTTCATCAGTGATGATTGAGATGCCTGGGCAACGCTTGGGTATCTATTGTTGAAACGTTTCGCCTACACAGTAGGCTTCTTCAGTCACATGCAGAGTCAGTAGGTGTATTAGTGACAGGAGGGTGACGTAAATAGTCCCTCAGCCTGGAGAAGAGGTCACTTTCATGGTCTGGAACATCTTTCCACCGTGGAGTCTTGTCAAGCCGTCACTGCTTGACAAAATTTCTGGAGAGCGAAGCGTGTCCACAGTAAAATGTGGCATTAATTTCATGTATGTCTTTTTACCTTATAGTTTTAGATTACATAGTAAAAAGTTACTTTTTTTTTTACACTAATTTTGGTGACCGGATTAACATGTTGGGATTTTAAAACTCAGACCTGTCAGGAAAATAGTTGCCCTGTTTCCTGACAAATATTGCCTAACCTGATGTGCTGCACTTTTATCAAGATTGATGGACTAAACACAGACTCCAGGCTGAGGGACTGATCACCTAAATTCATCATCTACCTTTCTCTGCACTGGACTGAAGAAACCACTGACTGGAGAAGCGTTTCCTGGAGTTTACCTGGAGAGAGTTCCGGGGGTCAACGCCCCCGCGGCCCGATCTGTGACCAGGCCTCATGGTGGATCAGGGCCTGATCAACCAGGCTGTTAATGTGATGGTCTCTGGCCAATGTCTTCCTACTTAATGCAGATATATTGGCCTCTTTTATCCTGGACAACATGCAATATATATATTGTAGCACCAAAGATGGACACATTTATATGGGAGTTCATTTTTTATTTAAAAGTAATTAATTTAAGGTAATTGGAAAACATTGTGACATTGTTGAAGTAAATTATGAGAAATTTTAAGTTAAAAGGGAGATTGTCAGGGCAGGTCACCGCCATCTTTATTTGTAAGTTGTGTGTTTAATGTTGGTCTGATGTAATGATCTAGATACATGTTGGATTGTCTCATGATTATAGAATGAAAAATGTATGTGAGCAAACTGAATAATATTTAAGAAATTTAATATTTATAGTGATCTCAAGTATTGAAAGTTTTCAGTATTTTTAATATACCGACTGAAGCAGTACGAGGCTTTTTTTTTTTTTTAACCAGTGCTGATAAGACTAAATTATTTAGACTTTGGTGTTGGTTAAAGTTGGATGTTTACTTGTGGTGGTGGTGGTATTCTGAGGTAGTCAGGAACGAAGGAGTTCAGGGACTGTGGATAATACGGAAGAAGGACAGTGACTTGTACGTTCCATCTTATATTTATTTTGATGGCTTCCTTTCTGAGTCAGCCTTGGAAGACAGGTGTAATACTGCCTAGTAACGGAAAATAAACCATGTTTATGTCCCCAACAGATACTGCAGTGCCTGGGTGTGCCTTACATGTATAGCAACGGTGAGGCTGAGAAACTCTGCGTGTGGCTGGAGAGAGAGAAGGTCAGAAAATCTTACTGTAGTTTCATAATCAAGTTTATACCAATTTTCAAAGCTAATGTACATTTTTATGCTGCTGGATTATGATTATAATAATTTTTAAAGGGGTGGAGGGGTAAGCCGGTGGAAGGTCTCAGTCAGATAACTAAAAGCTCTAACTGTGGGTCATATGACGAAGACCCGCATCAGGAAATACTAGTCTTGTTTCCTGACAAATCTTAACCCATACTGTGGAACTAAAGGAGAGGGCCCAGATGGAATTATATCCTACCTTCCTCTGCCTGATACCTACCTCTGTTACTCTTGTTTTGTAATTTTTTTTTTCCAACGAAGCCTTTCCTTGTCATAAACGGATCGTTGCTGGATCAAGCTTGGTGTGCAGTTGCTAGGTGTATGTGTCCGCGTCCATTGTTCACAAGAAGTTATTAATTAGATGGTGATGTCAGCCCCTAACCTCTCTGCTTGTAATGCGTTGTTAGTTCTCTAGTGCCCCATTTCCCTCTGCTTTCCTTCTGATAAAACTTCTTTTTCGAGGTTGGGAATTTAAATCTTTATTGACGTGTTGCTCAGGCTGGGCAATTTTTCCAAAGTGGCTCCAACCTTCAATAGGCTAACTAAATTGACTCGTACGTTTACTCTATATGGAGGCCCATATACTCATTGCTACCGCTCACCTGCAGGTTAAGCTTGCTACTAGTTAAGTAGCAGGTTAAGCTTGCTGCTAGTTAAGTAGCAGGTTAAGCTTGCTACTAGTTAAGTAGCAGGTTAAGCTTGCTACTAGTTAAGTAGCAGGTTAAGCTTGCTACTAGTTAAGTAGCAGGTTAAGCTTGCTACTAGTTAAGTAGCAGGTTAAGCTTGCTACTAGTTAAGTAGCAGGTTAAGCTTGCTACTAGTTAAGTAGCAGGTTAAGCTTGCTACTAGTTAAATAATTAACCTGAATGACCCTATTCGTGAAGTAGGGCGACCATTAGTGTGTTAATTTCTTCCTCAGGAGAGCACTGTGTTGGTTAGTCACTATCATTGCATGTTGGAGAACTTAACATACCACCATGAAATCTTAAAATAATGTAGTCTAGTAGGCTGCCTTTGTTCCTCTGGTGCATCATCATAACTGTCCCTTGACCTCACTCGACCAGTGTATTAGTTAAAATAAATTGTTTTTCGTGTTCTCCATGTAGTTGAACTGCATTGTGTATAAGAATAGATGTTCTTATGCTACAGACATAAGGAAGAGGATCCAAGGTTGCTTCTTCCCCAGCTGTGAGGCTGCAGGTTACCTAGTGCTGGTCAGGTGTGTATATCCCTTCTTAACGCTCCTGAGTATAATCATCTGGTCCCATTAGTCCTCGTGTCAAAAGAAGAGTATATTTCTGCGTTGTTTTTTTACTTCTGTTTAAATAATAAGAGAAAATGGACAGAGAACTATTTTTTTTTATCATTGATGACCAGACCTTACATGTGTCATGACTCGATTATTATTATTATAATCAAGGGGGAAGCGCTAAACCCGGAGGATTATACAGCGCCTGGGGGGGGGATGTGGAAGGCATTCAGGCTTAATTTGGGGAACTGGAGCACAGATCCAATTCCCTAAATCAAGAGCCCCTCACCAACATCAAGGAACCTTCCTTGAGGGGGTCATGACTCGAGAAATCATAATAACTGGCTTGTAAGTTATAAGACTGGCTTGTCATTGGTTCAGTCTCCACCTGTTCCCTGGTTTACATACATATATAACTGATCTGACTCAACACTAAGTTAGTGTGGTGCAGGTCACATGAACACTGACTTACTATTATCTACCAAAAAACTGTATCTGAACTGGTTCTTAGACATGACTGGGATGTGAAAGAAAAATTTTTTTCACTGGAATATGAAATCTGTCCGTGTTTAGCATTGCTTTGACTTTTAATATATGTTGCATAACGCGATACCATTTTAATTTGTCCCCCCCCCCAAATAAAAAAAAAATTTTAGATTGCTTCTGTAATATCACTGATATATAAGAAATCAATGAGAGGTTCTGGCGCTGAAATATTCCCAAATATAATAAAATGGCAGATATATCTCTCCTTACGTCAATCATATTGAATTATTCTGTTATTAAATAGATTCATATTAAAAGAATACCATGTACATTTCTAGAAAGATATGATAGAAGTACTTGTATATTTTATATCAGCTTCGTAAAATCACCAGTCACAAATGACTTAAGGGGCACTTCAGTGCCTCTCTTCTAATATATTATGTTTCCCCAATAATCTACCTCATACACATTTGATTTGTTTTCGTGAGGTGAAGTCCAGGATCTTTCCTTAATTTATGGTATAACTTAACAAATCTTTGTGGTCAGTTGTGATGTAGAGGTGTTTACCTGGAGTTTACCTGGAGAGAGTTCCGGGGGTCAACGCCCCCGCGGCCCGGTCTGTGACCAGGCCTCCTGGTGGATCAGAGCCTGTGTGAGAACAGTTCAGACCTCTACAACAGAATTGCCATCAAAGATTTGTTAAGTTATACCATGAATTAAGGAAAGATCCTGGACTTCACCTCGCGAAAGCAGACAAATTATTATTATTATTATTATTATTATTATTATTATTATTATTATTATTATTATTATTATTATTATTAAAGATTCGCCGGTATTCTCCCGGCCCGGGCCTTTTCCAAGTGGTGGCCCGGCAAGCAGACAAAGTAAATGCGATAGTAATTATGGACGAGGTAGATTATTGGGGAAAAATAAAGTTGATATTAGGAGACAGGGAAATTCACTTGCCTCTTAAAATATTGTTGTAATGTAAGTTTGTTGATATTGATGTAATATTTGTTCCCCAGCTTGTTGATGGTATAATTACTGAGGACAGTGATGTATGGCTCTACGGTGCACATACTGTATACAGACAACTCTCCACGGCTCCTGGCAGCCATGGCATCAGGTACTCTACACTTTCTCTCTGGCAGCCATGGCATCAGGTACTCTACACTTTCTCTCTGGCAGCCATGGCATCAGGTACTCTGCACTTTCTCTCTGGCAGCCATGGCATCAGGTACTCTACACTTTCTTTCTGGCAGCCATGGCATCAGGTACTCTACACTTTCTCTCTGGAAGGCATGGCATCAGGTACTCTGCACTTTCTCTCTGGCAGCCATGGCATCAGGTACTCTACACTTTCTCTCTGGCAGCCATGGCATCAGGTACTCTACACTTCTTTCTGGCAGCCATGGCATCAGGTACTCTACACTTTCTCTCTGGCAGCCATGGCATCAGGTACTCTACACTTTCTCTCTGGCAGCCATGGCATCAGGTACTCTACACTTTCTCTCTGGCAGCCATGGCATCAGGTACTCTACACTTTCTCTGGAAGCCATGGTATCAGGTACTCTACACTTTCTGGCAGCCATGGCATCAGGTACTCTACACTTTCTCTGGAAGCCATGGCATCAGGTACTCTGCACTCTCTCTCTGGCAGCCATGGCATCAGGTACTCTACACTTTCTCTGGAAGCCATGGCATCAGGTACTCTGCACTTTCTCTCTGGAAGCCATGACATCAGGTACTCTACACTTTCTCTGGAAGCCATGGCATCAGGTACTCTACCCTTTCTGGCAGCCATGGCATCAGGTACTCTACACTTTCTCTCCAGGAAGTTTCAAACAACATCCAGGTTAAGTCACCAGAGGAAAGTCTTAGAGGAGGAAAGGAAGAGATAAAGGCTATCAGGCCTTTATAGGGGGTTACAGAGGTTTATTGGGTTTGAGGTTTATAGGGGTTTAGGATTTTTAGAGGTTTATGGGGTTTATAGGGGTTATGGAGTTTATAAGGGTTTAAGGGCATTCCCCATCAACTGAAGAGAAGGCTAACTCTAATTCATTGAATCAAGAGCCTTTGACCAGTGTCAGGGCACCATCTTCCTCTACCCCTCAAAGAAGGTTTCTGTCCACCTGATCTAATTGGACCTATTGCTCACCTTCCTCGGATTGAACCTAAATGCCTGCCATTCACACAGGCGCTGTATGGCTCATGCGGGCTTTTAGCTCCCCTGTGAATGTATTTTGGTAGCTGCAAGATACGAGAAAAGTATCCCTGAGCTGCATAACCCCAGCCCTCTGCAGGTCAGTACAGGAGAATGTAGTTAAATATTTGCACTGTAGATGTCAGTAGAGGCGCCAACAAGTCATCACATAGAAACAAAAGTATAGCAGTTTTTTCCAGTAAGATAAGATTTCGTTCGGACTTTTAACCCCGGAGGGTTAGCCACCCAGGATAACCCAAGAAAGTCAGTGCGTCATCGAGGACTGTCTAACTTATTTCCATTGTGGTCCTTAATCTTGTCCCCCAGGATGCGACCCACACCAGTCGACTAACACCCAGGTACCTATTTGCTGCTAGGTGAACAGGACAACAGGTGTAAGGAAACGTGTCGAAATGTTTCCACCCGCCGGGAATCGAACCCGGGCCCTCCGTGTGTGAAGCGGGAGCTTTAGCCACCAGGCCACCAGGCCACCGGGCCACCGGGCCACCAGGCCACCGGGCCACCGGGCCACCAGGCCACCGGGCCACCGGGCCACCGGGCCACCAGGCCACCGGGCCACCGGGCCACCGGGCCACCAGGCCACCGGGCCACCAGGCCACCGGGCCACCCAAATGAGGAGATAATCCAGTCTGGTTTTACTCTACACTGAAGAATAACACTTGTGCAATATTTGGCCAACTTTATTGAGGAATCGTGTCGCCAGTCAGTGACTTCTTCAGTCCAATACACAGAAGAACGATGGAAGATAAGTTGTTTGAGGTAATCAGTCCGTCAGCCTGGAGCTGACTCCAGGCTGACGAGTCGACCAGAACACTGTAACAAAGAACAAGTTCTGACAACAAAGTTCTTCAGGCTTCACTGAACTTGTCAAAACTAAGTTCTCTTTACTTTAAAATTCTCTACAATGATTTAAAAAGTAGGAAAAACATTTGAATTTTTTATTTAAGAAATTTTAATTAAAAAAATATATGAAAGTGGCAGATACCAAGTTTAGAAGTTAATAATAAAAAAAAAACTTCCAGTTAAGATAAACCGATTATTTGATGTCCAGTTATATTTATCAGTTATTATTGTCAATTATTTTTAGTTATCACAGTTATGTCACAGACCGGGCCGCGGGGGCGTTGACCCCCGGAACTCTCTCCAGGTAAACTCCAGGTTATCAGTTACTGTTATCATTTGTCTATTAGTTATCAGTTACTGTTATCACAGTTATCTATTATCAGTTATCAACTACTGTTATCAGTTATCAGTTAACGTTATCACAGCGAAGTTTGTTATCACACTGCTGCACTCCACAAGTTGGAATACTGCAGTTGGTAGTGATGTGAACGATGTCAGGGAATATTGTAGTTGGTAGTTATGTGAACGATGATGTCAGGGAATATTGCAGTTGGTAGTGATGTGAACGATGTCAGGGAATATTGTAGTTGGTAGTTATGTGAACGATGATGTCAGGGAATATTGCAGTTGGTAGTGATGTGAACGATGTCAGGGAATATTGTAGTTGGTAGTTATGTGAACGATGATGTCAGGGAATATTGTAGTTGGTAGTTATGTGAACGATGATGTCAGGGAATATTGTAGTTGGTAGTGATGTGAACGATGATGTCAGGGAATATTGTAGTTGGTAGTTATGTGAACGATGATGTCAGGGAATATTGTAGTTGGTAGTTATGTGAACGATGATGTCAGGGAATATTGTAGTTGGTAGTTATGTGAACGATGATGTCAGGGAATATTGTAGTTGGTAGTTATGTGAACGATGATGTCAGGGAATATTGTAGTTGGTAGTGATGTGAACGATGATGTCAGGGAATATTGTAGTTGGTAGTGATGTGAACGATGATGTCAGGATGGTGGTGGCAACACAGTCATTGAATAAATAATGGTGAATGTGTTTTTTTGTTTTGTCACCCTCCGTCGGTGAGACACAGCCGGTGTTTAAAAAAAAAATATTTATTAGAGATAGTGGAAAAAGAATTACAGGAAACAAAAATATTGCTGAATATTTACATTTACGGTTCCCCGTGGCCTGTTGGGTAAAGCTCTCGCTTCAGACGGCGAGGGTCTGGGTTCGATTCCCAGCGAGGGTAGAAACAGGCGTGTTGCTTTACACCGGTTGTCTATGTTCACTCATCAGTAAAATGGGTACCTGGGTGTTAGTGGACTGGTGTGGGTCGCATCCTGGGACAAAACTGACCTAATTTGCCGGAAGTGCTCAACATAACAAGCGACTTTCTATACAGTAGTATGTCACTGATGTCAGCTATGGTCTGTATACCTTGTATATGTACTTGTAGCAAATAAACATATTATTATATATAAATGTTCACAGGTATCGCGGGGAGAATATCAGAGAGAAGTTTGGTCTCAATCAATACTCCATGATAGGCCTTGGCGTTCTGATTGGCTGCGATATGCTTCCAGCTGGTGCAGTGGGAATTGGCCTCAAGAAGGCACTGAAGCTTGTTCAGGGTGCCGGACTTAGGTCAGTCTTATTTTGATAAATACGCTTGGACAACATCTGGGTATCTTTATTGTAGACGTTTCGCCATCCAGTGGCTTTATCAACACACTTTCAAGAGCATAATGGAAAGACTGTACAACTATATGCAAAACACGAGGTAATCAGTCCCTCAGCCTTGGAGTTGAACACTGTAGTCGTGGAGAATGTGGAGCACTGACATGAAGATTGGTGCTTATATACTGGCGTCAGGTGATGGAGGTGTAGCAGACGAAGACAGTCACTGGTAGGTAGGAGTACCCAGTGGAATCAGGTCACACCCGAGGGTTGGACCAGTAGGATTACCCAGTGGAATCAGGTCACACCCGAGGGTTGGACCAGTAGGATTACCCAGTGGAATTAGGTCACACCCGAGGGTTGGACCAGTAGGATTACCCAGTGGAATTAGGTACACCCGAGGGTTGGACCAGTAGGATTAACCCCTGGAATTAGGTCACACCCGAGGGTTGGACCAGTAGGATTACCCAGTGGAATTAGGTCACACCCGAGGGTTGGACCAGTAGGAGTACCCAGTGGAATCAGGTCACACCCGAGGGTTGGACCAGTTTGGATTACCCAGTGGAATTAGGTCACACCCGAGGGTTGGACCAGTAGGAGTACCCAGTGGAATCAGGTCACACCCGAGGGTTGGACCAGTAGGATTACCCAGTGGAATCAGGTCACACCCGAGGGTTGGACCAGTAGGATTACCCAGTGGAATAGGTCACACCCGAGGGGTTTGGGCCAGTATGAGTACCCAGTGGAATCAGGTCACACCCGAGGGTTGGACCAGTAGGAGTACCCAGTGGAATCAGGTCACACCCGAGGGTTGGACCAGTAGGAGTACCCAGTGGAATCAGGTCACACCCGAGGGTTGGACCAGTAGGATTACCCAGTGGAATTAGGTCACACCCGAGGGTTGGACCAGTAGGAGTACCCAGTGGAATCAGGTCACACCCGAGGGTTGGACCAGTAGGATTACCCAGTGGAATTAGGTCACACCCGAGGGTTGGACCAGTAGGAGTACCCAGTGGAATCAGGTCACACCCGAGGGTTGGACCAGTAGGATTACCCAGTGGAATTAGGTCACACCCGAGGGTTGGACCAGTAGGAGTACCCAGTGGAATCAGGTCACACCCGAGGGTTGGACCAGTAGGAGTACCCAGTGGAATCAGGTCACACCCGAGGGTTGGAAACCCGTAGGAGTACCCAGTGGAATCAGGTCACACCCGAGGGTTGGACCAGTAGGAGTACCCAGTGGAATCAGGTCACACCCGAGGGTTGGACCAGTAGGGGGTACCCAGTGGAATCAGGTCACACCCGAGGGTTGGACCAGTAGGATTACCCAGTGGAATCAGGTCACACCCGAGGGTTGGACCAGTAGGATTACCCAGTGGAATTAGGTCACAAACCCCAGGGTTGGACCAGTATGAGTACCCAGTGGAATCAGGTCACACCCGGTGGTTGGACCAGTAGGAGTACCCAGTGGAATTAGGTCACACCCGAGGGTTGGACCAGTAGGATTACCCAGTGGAATTAGGTCACACCCGGGGGTTGGACCAGTAGGATTACCCAGTGGAATCAGGTCACACCCGAGGGTTGGACCAGTAGGATTACCCAGTGGAATTAGGTCACACCCGAGGGTTGGACCAGTAGGAGTACCCAGTGGAATTAGGTCACCCGGGGGTTGGACCAGTAGGATTACCCAGTGGAATTAGGTCGCACCCGGGGGTTGGACCAGTAGGATTACCCAGTGGAATTAGGTCACCCGAGGGTTGGACCAGTAGGATTACCCAGTGGAATTAGGTCACACCCGAGGGTTGGACCAGTAGGAGTACCCAGTGGAATCAGGTCACACCGAGGGTTGGACCAGTAGGATTACCCAGTGGAATTAGGTCACACCCGAGGGTTGGACCAGTAGGAGTACCCAGTGGAATCAGGTCACACCCGAGGGTTGGACCAGTAGGAGTACCCAGTGGAATTAGGTCATATCCGAGGGTTGGACCAGTAGGTTTACCCAGTGGAATTAGGTCATATCCGAGGGTTGGACCAGTAGGTTTACCCAGTGGAATTAGGTCACCCAGGGGTTGGACCAGTAGGATTACCCAGTGGAATTAGGTCATACCCGAGGGTTGGACCAGTAGGATTACCCAGTGGAATTAGGTCACACCCGAGGGTTGGACCAGTAGGATTACCCAGTGGAATTAGGTCACCCGGGGGTTGGACCAGTAGGATTACCCAGTGGAATTAGGTCCACACCCGAGGGGTTGGACCAGTAGGATTACCCAGTGGAATTAGGTCACACCCGAGGGTTGGACCAGTAGGATTACCCAGTGGAATTAGGTCACCCGAGGGTTGGACCAGTAGGATTACCCAGTGGAATTAGGTCACACCCCGAGGGTTGGACCAGTAGGATTACCCAGTGGAATTAGGTCACACCCGAGGGTTGGACCTGTAGGATTACCCAGTGGAATTAGGTCACACCCGAGGGTTGGACCAGTAGGATTACCCAGTGGAATTAGGTCACACCCGGGGGTTGGACCAGTAGGATTACCCAGTGGAATTAGGTCACACCCGGGGGTTGGACCAGTAGGATTACCCAGTGGAATTAGGTCACACCCGAGGGTTGGACCAGTATGATTACCCAGTGGAATTAGGTCACACCCGAGGGTTGGACCAGTAGGATTACCCAGTGGAATTAGGTCACACCCGAGGGTTGGACCAGTAGGATTACCCAGTGGAATTAGGTCACACCCGAGGGTTGGACCAGTAGGATTACCCAGTGGAATTAGGTCACCCGGGGGTTGGACCAGTAGGATTACCCAGTGGAATTAGGTCACACCCGAGGGTTGGACCAGTAGGATTACCCAGTGGAATTAGGTCACCCGGGGGTTGGACCAGTAGGATTACCCAGTGGAATTAGGTCGCACCCGGGGGTTGGACCAGTAGGATTACCCAGTGGGAAATTTGGTCACCCCGGGGGTTGGACCAGTAGGATTACCCAGTGGAATTAGGTCACCCGAGGGTTGGACCAGTAGGATTACCCAGTGGAATTAGGTCACCCGGGGGTTGGACCAGTAGGATTACCCAGTGGAATTAGGTCACCCGAGGGTTGGACCAGTAGGATTACCCAGTGGAATTAGGTCACACCCGGGGGTTGGACCAGTAGGATTACCCAGTGGAATTAGGTCACCCGAGGGTTGGACCAGTAGGATTACCCAGTGGAATTAGGTCACCCGAGGGTTGGACCAGTAGGATTACCCAGTGGAATTAGGTCACCCGAGGGTTGGACCAGTAGGATTACCCAGTGGAATTAGGTCACCCGAGGGTTGGACCAGTAGGATTACCCAGTGGAATTAGGTCACCCGAGGGTTGGACCAGTAGGATTACCCAGTGGAATTAGGTCACACCCGGGGGTTGGACCAGTAGGATTACCCAGTGGAATTAGGTCACACCCGAGGGTTGGACCAGTAGGATTACCCAGTGGGAAATTTGGTCACACCCGGGGGTTGGACCAGTAGGATTACCCCAGTGGAATTAGGTCACCCGAGGGTTGGACCAGTAGGATTTCCCAGTGGAATTAGGTCACCCGAGGGTTGGACCAGTAGGATTACCCAGTGGAATTAGGTCACCCGAGGGTTGGACCAGTAGGATTACCCAGTGGAATTAGGTCACCCGAGGGTTGGACCAGTAGGATTACCCAGTGGAATTAGGTCACACCCGAGGGTTGGACCAGTAGTACACAAGAAGCTTGTGGAGATGTCACGACTACGGTGTTCTTCACAATCTTCACGACTACGGTGTTCTTCACAATCTTCACGACTACGGTGTTCTTCACAGTCTTCACGACTACGGTGTTCTTCACAATCTTCACGACTACGGTGTTCTTCACAATCTTCACGACTACGGTGTTCTTCACAATCTTCACGACTACGGTGTTCTTCACAATCTTCACGACTACGGTGTTCTTCACAATCTTCACGACTACGGTGTTCTTCACAATCTTCACGACTACGGTGTTCTTCACAATCTTCACGACTACGGTGTTCTTCACAATCTTCACGACTACGGTGTTCTTCACAATCTTCACGACTACGGTGTTCTTCACAATCTTCACGACTACGGTGTTCTTCACAATCTTACGACTACGGTGTTCTTCACAATCTTCACGACTACGGTGTTCTTCACAATCTTCACGACTACGGTGTTCTTCACAATCTTCACGACTACGGTGTTCTTCACAATCTTCACGACTACGGTGTTCTTCACAATCTTCACGACTACGGTGTTCTTCACAATCTTCACGACTACGGTGTTCTTCACAATCTTCACGACTACGGTGTTCTTCACAATCTTCACGACTACGGTGTTCTTCACAATCTTCACGACTACGGTGTTCTTCACAATCTTCACGACCACGGTGTTCTTCACAATCTTCACGACCACGGTGTTCTTCACAATCTTCACGACTATGGTGTTCTTCACAGTCTTCACGACTACGGTGTTCTTCACAGTCTTCACGACTACGGTGTTCTTCACAGTCTTCACGACTACGGTGTTCTTCACAATCTTCACGACTACGGTGTTCTTCACAATCTTCACGACTACGGTGTTCTTCACAATCTTCACGACTACGGTGTTCTTCACAATCTTCACGACTACGGTGTTCTTCACAATCTTCACGACTACGGTGTTCTTCAGTCTTCAAGACTACGGTGTTCTTCACAATCTTCACGACTACGGTGTTCTTCACAATCTTCACGACCACGGTGTTCTTCACAATCTTCACGACCACGGTGTTCTTCACAATCTTCACGACTACGGTGTTCTTTCACAATCTTCACGACCACGGTGTTCTTCACAGTCTTCACGACTACGGTGTTCTTCACAATCTTCACGACTACTGTGTTCTTCACAATCTTCACGACTACGGTGTTCTTCACAATCTTCACGACTACGGTGTTCTTCACGACTACGGTGTTCTT